GTTAAGAGCTTGCTCAAGAATGTGAGCTCTGAGCAACAGGGTCGCCAGTTCGATTCCTGGCCTGAGCTGAGCTGCCACTGAGCTGCCAACAGGTGGCAGGATGGCCCAGCTAAAAAAAAAAATTGTTTTAAACAAGGGGATGTCAATCAAACCCTGTGATCACTCTTGACATTCTTTCATTCCTGAAAAGTTCTAACTCTCAGTAAATACTCTTTTATGAGCTATAATATCTATGCCTAAAAGATATGCTGCATTTTCATCCCCTTGTGTATTATCAATTTTACTTGTCTTGAATCCAGTCAGATTCATTAGAATATCCTCCTCACCCCTAGCTACTTTTATTGAAATAAGCTTTTTTTTTTTTTAAAGATTTTTATTGGGGAATTGGAAGGATGGGAACAGTGCTGGGGAATTGGGGGAAGGGGAACAGACAAATTGCTGTCGTTTTGTTCTTCAGTCTAGTTGTGGAGGACGTTGCTTCACTGGCCCAAGTTGGCACCATCATTGCACTCTTCCCAGGCGAGGCAGATCAGTCGCCGGCTTCTGGATGGCTGCTCACTGCGGCTGCTGGCCACTCACGCTGGCTGCTGGCTACATACGGTAGCCCACGGCAACCCACTGCCACAGGGGCTGCAGCCTACGCCGTCGCCGGCGACTCACGGCAGCCTAGCTCCAGGTTGAGCTGTTGTTCAGCATCTTAGCTGTAGAGGGCAGTGTCACTGGCCCTCATATGTGGGATCTGAACCAGGGCCCTCTGGCGTCCCAAGCCAGCTCTTAACCATTGCACCACTCGGCCGGCCCTACTGAAATAAGCTTTGATGTACTACTTTCACACAGTGTTTCAATCATTGAGACACAATAAGAACTAGTGTATTTGCTGTAGTGATGATATTAAGAATATCATCTACCACATACCCAAGTATCAACCCTTCATGACATATGACAGCAGAAATGGCCGTAAATGCCAGCAAAAGCTATGCCTGTCCTGTGTAACAGGCAGCCTTTGACTGTATACTCTGAATTATTAGTTTCTTTCTTTGTTTCGGTTGCTAGGAAACTCAGAGCCAAATTTGCTCCTTACTTTTGGAAGGAAACTTCTTGTAAACTTAACCTTGGCTTTATTTTATTCTTCCTCCCAGATTCCCCTTCACTTTGACCCTTTTATCTATTTTATCCCACTTAATTGTATGTATATTTGTCTGTTGCCTCAAATCCTTTTTGGATATAAATGTAAGTGTGAGTATAAGTTATAAACAAATAAACAAACAAATAAATAAATAAGTAAATAAGATTTGTTCAAGAAGAAAAGGCATTTTAATTGTAACTTTTCAGCTTGTCCACACCCAAGGTTTTCCTATCTTTTCTTTTACTGACTGAAAAATTCTCCCCTAGATGCCAGTTATCAAATGTGAAAAATGCACAATATGACTGGTATTTAAAAAAAATATACAGAATGCTTTAATTGCTTTACATAAGTGAAGTAGAGGAAACTGCAGTTAATTAGCTGGTTCTTTTTTATTATTAATTTTACTAAATGAAGCAACTGTTTATAAAATATTCAGGAGGTCAAGCTGTCAAGGTTCATGAAGCATTGCCCTTCACCTGAGAGGTTTTGTTGTCAATTATTAAACATAAAAGTAGTAAAGTGAAAAATTGAGTCTAAGAAAAATAATATAAAAGCTGTCAACATAATAATTATTTATTTATTTATTTGTTTGTTTGTTATTAGTTTCAGGTGTACAAAACAATAGTTATCCTTTTCACCCCTCACCAAGTAACAACCCCCCTCCCCCATCCACTGCCCTCCCACCCCCAATATCATGCTTATCTATTACAATTCCATTGACTCCATTCCCACTCTCTACTCCACATCCCGTGACTATATGTGTATATAATTGTAGTTGACATATAATATTATTCAACATCGGCTTCAGATATACAGTGCAGTGGTCAGGCAACATGATAATTTATATAAGTTGGGCATTTAAACAAAGCATAGCTATTTTCCATGTCAATAATAAATGACATCTAAGTATGTAAAAAAAATTTTATTGTGTCTCCATTCAAAAACTCTTTTAGGAAGTTCAAAACTATTGGGCAATTTCCTACACCTAAAGTGCCTTAGATCACCTACTTTCATTTCATTTCATTTCTTGGACCACTCAGAACAAAAGATTTGGCCTATACCAGATGGTTATGTAATTTTAATGTCACAGCTTTTAATTTATACAGAATTGTCCTTAAACAATGTCATAGCCTGAGCTGCCTTTTGGGGTTATATCTCTTTCTTCCCTACAGGAGAAGTTCAATCTGTGATCCACTGATTTACCCAGATGAAAGACTTTCCTACAAGTCTCTAAGTCTTTTTTAAGATCTTGAATTTAATATGAAGATTTATGGAAAATTGGTCTACGACATCTGTTTGGATGAAGAGTTTCTGCCAGCCAATAAAGGGATAGCAAGCACACAGCTACTCTGTTTGGAACTAAAACTATCCTGAACTCATTTCCATTGAGCACAGTTTTTCTGTTCATCATTTAAAATGGAAAGACAAAAGGAATGGAAAAGAGTGAACTGAAGCCCACTGGGATATACTTGACAAATTATGAATGAATGTACTTCTCTTAATTTAAGTGGGGTTTGAAAGCCAAGAGAGAGGTGATGAAAAACCCGAATCGGTAGAAGGGATGTTGAGTCTCGTCAGTGAGGGTCCAGTCAGGAAAAGAGAAATCATAATAACTATTTTAATAAATAAAATTTAATATGGGGGATTGGTGAAATGAGTATTGGAAGCAACACCGTTACCACAGAGAAAATAACTTCAGGAAATAGCTTCATTCTTAGTACAGGGAGGGCAAAGAGAAAAGATTAAAGTTCTCAAAAATCGCCTAGAAGCTTGGAGGAGGGGCCCTCATAGCTGCATGGCTGGTGCTGCCATCTCTGAGGGGCATCATTATGAGGCTGGATCTAAGAGGTGGAAAACTGGAACCATCTGCTTCTGGAACCAATCGTGCTGCTTGGCTAAAGAGCAATACTGGGGTGACCCAAGTAACAACAGAAAACAAAAGGGAAATGCTGAATTCCCTCCACCTGCCTTCCAGTTTCCCTCTAGTTTCTTCTACTAGTGGAAACTAAAGGCAGCCAGATGGCAAAGAAGTGTTTGTAGAAGTCCAGTCCCAGCATCACAAATTTACGAGGGCAAGTTTGAAGCTGAGACAGTAGCTTAATAAGGGACACAGAGATGATACTTGGGGATGAAAACAGGAGGAAAAAAAATCTAAAGACTGGATTCTAAGAGAAAAGAACTGGGATCTGGAGAGGAGGTAATTTTAAATAAATATTTAAGAAAATCTGCATTAGTTGACAGTGCTTTTTGGATTAGGTTTGTGCTTTGTTGGGTTACAACAAAGTGCTGTGACTTTATCTCAACGTGTATAGGATTGAAGACAGTCTGTCCAAGGGGGCCAATCACAGTTCACTTACTTATAGGTAAAACTAAGATAAGACTTAGCAAAGAGAGAACAGTCAAAAAACATGGAAACTAAATTTTATAGACTCTTAAAAGATTAGGTACCCTCCTTTTTTTTTTCTTTCTAAAAGTAAAAGGAAATGCCAATTGTCAAGTTTAAGATGATAGTGAACCAGTTCACTCATAATAGATGTATTCATGGAAAATGTTTTTGTATTGAATCAAATAATTTAATAATAACTACCTTAATGTGTGACCTTAAACAAATAACTTCTTTGGGTCCTTCTCATTTGTAACACCAGGGGTGCCAAAAATCTGTACACACATTTTAAGAGATGTTAACACTTTGGCCAACGTTGATCAAGCAGTAATTCGCCATAATGAGAAGTATCTGGATGCACTTTGTGAACCTCTTGTAATTGCAGAAGTCAACCATTACTTGTATTCATCTTTTGTTACCGGTATATATTAATACAGCTATTTCCTTTCTTAAAACGTGTGTACATTTTTTTGGTACCCTCTGTATAGAATGGAAATAAATAAGTTCTACTGTCTCTTTTAGTTTTTAAATGTTCATGTCTATAAAATGACTCCCTTTTTTCCAAAATTTGTTATCTTATGTATTTATAGTCCAAACCCAGCAAAGTGAAGATTCTCCTCTACTTTTGATTTTACCATTCCCAAGTTCTTACATAACAGGTTTCAATTAACTGCAGTGGTACTGGAGATTTTGAAAGTGATGAGTCAAGAAAAGAACACATGACAACCAAGGAAAGGCTCATATTTAACTACACAATGTGACAGGCTCTATGCCAATTTCTTCTATTAAGACAATGTACTTAATGTTTCAATAATCCCAGGCATTTGAAAATCTTTCAGGAAGATAACTAAAAAGATAGACACAAAGCCATTTTTAAAGTCACATCTTGAACTTTTAAAATAGAAATTCCCTGTCAGCGTTCTGATGTCATCTGCTTGCTTAGATCATTACCTGCTTGCCTGAAATCACTATTTCTTAAACCTGAGAACCATGGATATCTGAAACTACATCTGCAGACTTCAGCGTGAAAAATCTATTTTAAGCCATGGATTTATCAACACACTGGAGAGAAGGTTATCCTGATTACCCAGCATACGTCAATGCAATTTTTTGTGGTATCATGGATGAGTTATTGATTCACTTGGTGTCTTTGTTGTTGATGTGGAGGAATGCACAAAAAGAATCAAAGGTTATTTCCTCGATTGCCTTTGTGGATGTCCAGCCAACTCTTTGTGTTCTGAGTGTGTCAGGTCTACTGAGATTAATTGAGATTATACTGAGTGGGGAAAGAAAGGAAGCATTTGCTTGTCAGAGTAAGAGATGAAGTGGACTTCCCTTGGGAAGAGGGTTGGATTTACTGAGACTAAAGGCTGGTACATTCTGTGGTAACCAGTGCACTGGCCTGATTGGTTGACTGTGTGAATGGCTGGGGACCTGGCACTCACACTGTTGCCTTAGTTGGGTGGCAAAGATCTTAGTGGTAAAACTTACCACAGAAGATATGGACACAGTCAACTGACTCACTGATTTTTACCTGGACCATGTAGACTTGGACAATGAGCTTCTCAGCAGTGACCATAATGAACTGGACACGAGAAGATCTTCCTCTATTTTCCCAAATTGTATAAATATTAAGGGTCTTTTACAATATTAAGGGGGTAAGGGCTCCCAAAGTGACCAACATTGGATTTCCTCCCAACAATGCCATTCACAACTAGAGAAATCAGTACATGAGCAACACATCTAACAGATTACTATAGAAAAAGTATTTTGTTAATTATTTAACAAAATAATTAACAAAAAAGTCAAAAACTCATCTGTAATTATTTCCAAGCCCAAATCGCATGGCTAGTATGATATTAGACATTTAAATAAATAAATTCATCATCATCATATTCATCATAAAAATCATCACATAGCTTTGTGATTTACAGAATGCTTTCACAATTATCATCTCTTTTCACTTTCATAACATTCTATGAGGTGTCCCTTTTCCTCATTTACGAGTAAGAGCGTTGATTCTCAAAAGGTTACTGGAGTTACTCTGCACAGTTCTAAAGTGAATAAATAGTAAAGTCAGATGCTGTCAACTGAATAGTATTAGGATTCTTGTTTTACAAATGAGGAAACTGAGGCTCAGAAAGATGAAGTATCGTTTCAGAGGTCCTACAACCTGTTGAATGTGACAGAATCAGGATTTCCTTCTCTAAATTTCACTACTATATTATATTTTTAAATGTTCTATCTTAGAGAAAAGTTAAATTAATAGTTCAATGAGCATTCTTCCCTTAGAGTCACAAGTTTAACATTTTGCTACATTTGAAAGTAAGTTGCAGATATGACATTTCACCTTTGAATATTTCTGAATGCTTTCTTAAGAATACCAATATCCTAGTAGTTTTGAGAAGAGTTTGAAGGAAAGGAACATAAATTAATAAAAAGAATAAACACATTATTATATTACTGCTTTAATCACTACACGATATGATATGAAAGAGAATGAGCATGACTTTCTCAGGGTTTAATTAAGTTAGTATTGGGAAATAATAATTATTTAACCTTTATTTTAATGTGTGTGTATGTGTGTACGTGTGTGTGAGTGTATATATTTAGTTTACACACAAAATAACCATTGATTTCCATAATAGCCCTTAGAGATAATTAAGGTAGATGTTTTTAAAAAGTCAAATGAAGAATCTGAGGTGTTAAAGAGATTATTTTGTCCCAGGTCATTAGGCAAATACGTGGACAAGCCAGGTCTTATGATATTGCAAAGAATTTTCAACTTTCATCCAAAAAAGATCCTAATAACTAGAAGATTTGGGCTCAGTTATGTTTCTAGATGTATGCTTTTGGGATGACTCTTTACTTTCTTAAACACTTCAGTTAGATTTCTTCAATTTTAGGCTGCAATCTTTGAGCTGATATCACAGCCCTGTTGTACATATGCATTGTATTCTCCTCAGCTGCTATAGTTGTCAGTGCAATTGGTTCTTGAGATCTCCACAGGAAAAACAGACATGCTATGCCAGCTTTGAATTATTAACAGCTCTGAGTAGCTCTCTATGTATGTTATATACATAGATGAGAGAAATTTCTAAATTTCTGGGTAACTATGTACAGGCGAATGATGAAGCAACTGCTCAATGGATAGTTTGCATACTCGTACATAACAAAAATTTCAGTAAAAGTAGGATGGCTAGACACTTCCCAGAGAATCTGATCTCCTAGGTTTTCTTAAAGGCTTGGAGTGGATACCTTAGGTTCTGTCTAACCATTTGTCCTTCAATAAGGAAATAACAGAAACAATATTTTTTTTCTAATTGCTATGGATATAATGAGAAATTATATTTTTGCATAATTTTTTGAGGTCCCAATAAAGGTAGTGCTGAGAAAGGTAGCATTCTCCTCACATTTTTCTGAATTAAGTCTAGAGAAATACAGTTTTGTGTCTTTTTCTTTAATTGTTGGAGACTCTAGCCTAACTTAGTCCTATCCATGAGGGACAATGCACTGAGTGCAGAGGAAGAGAGGCACTGAAATGTCAGGCTTCTAGAGTTCTTACAATCACAGGTTTCCTATTGGGTTGTAAACCCTGACAACTGTAATCAGACTCCAGGAAGAGGTCTGACTGTGGGCAAGGAAAGGAAGGAGTTACAGGGCATGGAAGAAGGAAAGACAAAGAAAAAGGAATAAAGAAAGGGAGAGGGGGAAGGAAAAGGAGAGAGAGAGAGAGAGAAGTATTCTGCTACCCAGCTGTTCTAGAACGATTTGTTAAAAAAACTATTCTTTCCCTGTTGAATGGTCTTGGCACCCTTGTAAAAAACACATTTGACCATGCATGCAAGAGTTTATTTCTGGGATCTCTATTCTATACCACCGGTCTATGTTTTTGTGCCAGGAAAATTGCTTACTCAGTAAGTTTTCAAATGGGGGAACATGAATCCTCCAGCTTTTTTCTTCCTTTCCCAAGATTATTTTGGGTCCCTTGAGTTTCTGTATAAAATTTAGGATCATCCTGTCAATTTCTGCAAAGAAGCCAACTAGGATTTTAATAGGATTTATTTGAATCTGTAGATCAATTTGGGGAGTATTGCCATCTTATTAAGTCTTCTGATCCATGAACTTGCAATGTCTGTTCATTTATTAAGATATGTAATTTCTTTCAACAGCATCTTGTAATCTTCAGAGTATAAGTGTTGTACTTTTGTTAAATTTTATCCTAAATATTTCCTTCTTTTAAAAGTTATTATAAGTGGAATTGTTTTTTTAATATTGTTTTCTGATTGTTCATTGCAAGTGTATAGAATACAATTGATTTTTGTGTATTAATCTTGTACAATTTTGTTGAACTTATTTATTAGTTCTAATAGTTTTTTAGACAGTTGCTTAGAATTTTTCTATATATAGGACCATGTCATCTGTAAATGGAGATAGTTTTATTTCTTATATTCCAATCTGGATGCCTTTTATTTTATTGTCTTGCCTAATGACCCTGGGTAGACTCTCTAGTATAATACTAAATACAAGTGGCCATAGCAGATATCTTTGTCTTGTTCCTGATCTTCAGAGGAAAGCAGCAGTCTTTCACCATTAAGTATGATGTTAGCTATAGGTTTTTTGTAGGTGTTCTTTATCAAGTTGAGGAAGTTCCCCTTTCTGCCTAGTTTCTGAGAGTTTTTATAATAAATAGGTATTGGATTTTGTCAAATATTTTTTTGCATCTATTGAGAGGGTCATATGACTTTTATTCTTTAGCTTGTTGATGTGATGGATTACAGTAATTGATTTTTCAAATGTTGAACCAGCCTTGTATACCTGGAATAAATCTCTGTCATGATATATAATTATTTTTAAACAATTTTTCATTTGATTTGCCAATATTTTTTTGAGAATTTTTCATCTATATTCATGAGATAATGGTCTATTATTTTCTTTTTTATGTGATGTCTTTGTCTGGTTTTGGTATCAGACAAATCATAAAATCAAGGCCTCTGTTTAACTGTCTCTTCCTGACCACACTTAGCTGGTTAGATTCACTAATTGCTGTGTGATTGCTATATTATTTCAACAATGCCCTGGGCCTGAATTATTCCACAGACAGATCGAATTCAATTTGGGCTCCTTGGAAGGAGACTACTTCTGACCCCAAGAGATTTTCCTACCTGTCACTTTCCTTGATTCTTTCTGGCAAACTAACCCATTTATGGTTTAGTGTATACCTCTAATGAATTTACCAGTCTCCAGTAAATTGCTTTTCACCTACCTCAACTTCTATTGTTTTTGAGAGAACCCTTAGGCTTGAACTTCCTCACATTCTGTTGCAAATGGAGTCAATTCCTTTGGGAGGAGATTCAAAGTCCTCTGATTTATGGCCTGCCTATTGTCCTTGGAAAAATCTCTGAGCCAAGTTTCTGGAGTTGTAGGTAGGATGTGCTTCTCTCTGAGTGACACACCTGTTTTAGGAGCTGAACACCTGGCAGAGCACAGGTGCAGCCTCTGATCTTTTCAGCTCGAGCAAAGAGCTTCTCTTTATGAATGCGCCAGAGCAAGGGAAATTGGGACCCCAGTGTTCTCAGTGCAGTGCCCCCAAGGTACAGCCTCCCTCCTACGAGTGGGGTCTGGTTGAAAGGAGGGAGCATCACCAGGAACTTTGTCCAAAGTCTCCGCTCTGTTATATTCCAGGGAACTACTTGTTCCTGAATCCCATCTCCCATATGATTTTAAGTTATATTTTGCTAGTGCCAAACTTGAATGACATCCAGAGGCTTCTTGATGTGCATTTGAGAACCACCTGCTTCACTGCATTGAAATGAATTGGTTGATGGGAACTTTTGCAGAGAAACTTGAAAATTCCAAGCTTCCTTATGAAATTTAGATAGATAATCTACTGCCTTTGTGATTCAGGTTGTGGTCACCAGTGTCTTTCACGTTTTCTGACCTTTGGTGCTGAATTCCCTGACCTTTGCTCCCCCAGCTCTCCTACCTTTCAGGTAAATCCTAATTCTTATGTTAAGCCTTTTTTTCCCCTGGAATTCTTAGAGTGGCTCTGCTTTCTTAACCAAATCCAGACTGAAAGGGATCCATTTTTCAGGGCAGATGTTTTAGTAGTTGTTGTTTAGTTGAGAGAGACTGTAAATACCAAGAAAAAAGGTGGAAGTATTGTCAGTAAGAATGAGAAAGGCAACAAGGTCCTAGAGAATACAGGAGCATTTTAGGCCGCGAGTATTGTTGAATGGATTTTCCTTGAGTAGAATGTGGGAGGGACATATCCTTAGCTTACAAATGGATATTGTGTTAGTTTGGCTCCTCTGAGAAACAGACACCAGGATGGAATTAAGTGTGTAAGTTATTTACTGGGGGAAAATGCCTGTGAGAAAAAATGGGGACAATGCTGGAGAAATCTGGGAGAACTTTGGTTCAGATATGATTTGATTCAGGTATGACTCTAGTTCAGAAAGTATGGAAGGGGAAAAGTTGAGTAGGGAGCGTCTTAGGTGCAGTTCGTTTCTAAGAAAGTTTTGTCGAGGCTGTGGGAAGTCCTTGAGTCAAAGTCAGAAGGGTCCAGTGACTCACAGC